GGTCATTATCTTACTCCCCGCTTGAAACCATACAACTTTGCTATTAGACATTTTCTCCAAAATGCATTCTAACTGAAGATATTAGGGGGGTCCAATACTTTTCGATGACCCTGTATATATACACAGGGTGTTAGTTAAATATGTTACCATACTTAACAGAGCGATTCTTTGGTTTATTTCAAGTATAAAAGTTCATATAAATATGTGTCTTAAACGGCTTAGTTTCCGAAATACAGGTAAATGTTCGCAAATGTTTGACGAAACGGTAAATTGCGTTGGAGATATCTTCCTGCATAAATATGTCTTATTTCATGTGAGTTACCATTCGCACGATCGTAAACAAAATGACAAATTCTAAGTCAAAGTCATAAAATCAAAAAAAGACTTCAGTTCTGATGTTACTGCGGGTCAGTTAGCTTGTGCATAACTTTTCGAGCCAAATTGTTTCAGTCCATCAAAATCAGTCTCATTAAACCTAAATTTACAAATTTTGAAATGGTAGATATGCACTTTGCCTATGGTCTTGCAAATGGTAACTCACGTGAGGCAAGGCGCATTTATGCAGAAAGATATCCCTAACTACCTAATTTACCATGTCGTAAAACATTTGCGAATATTTACCGCTATCTTCAAGAAAAGGGTTCTTTTGTAAGGAACACTGTTGATCTTCGAAAGCCTGTGACAGTTAAAACACCAGTACTAGAGGAAGCTTTTCTAAACGAAACAGATTATTACTACACGTTTAAATTTTTTTATTTCGGAAACTAAGCCGTTTAGGATATATGTTTATATGAACTTTTTTACTCTTAAAATAAACCAAAGAATCGCTCTGTTGAGTATGGCAACATACTTAACTAACACCCAATATATATATATATATATATATATATATATATATATATATATATATATATCATATATAATTTTTATATAATTTTTATATAATAATTTTTTCCTGGGTTTCTATAATATTTCTTTTATTATTTTGCAATTTATTGATAATAAATTAATAAATTTCTTATAACTAAAACTATCCGATTATATAAATAACTAATTTTTATAAAACTAGTAATTATAAATCAAACTAAACAATATAATTTTTCTCTTACGTTATTAAGTTTCAAAAGCTAAACAAAAAACAAATGTTTTATGTACCTAATGTCGTGGCACTACAGTGCTTTAATAAAAGTAAAGTTATATAAAAGATTTTAATATTTTTAAATAAGTAAATTTCTCGAATTATTAATTTATCAATAATTCAAAAGAATAGTACAACACAAATAAATATTCAAAAATTTAAATTACTATATTTTACTTAAATTACGTAAATTACGTAAATTACTGTATAGCGTTAAATACTTGCCAATTGATCCCCAATCAGGATGAGCCAAATTGTTATAAAATCCATCGTACCTCTGTTTGATATTCGCATAACTATGACCCGCTCCTAAAACAAGTCTGTTTTGTACTGGTGAAGTTTTGTACAAGTAATTGTCTTCGTCAAAACACAAATTCCGTAAGGTCTAACGATGAGCCATTTTAATCAGTATGGACCATTATCTCGCAAACTAAATGAAATATCAAAAATGTTTTAAATGCACGCACACACATATACACACGTATACAAAAGAGATGTAAATCTAACCAGCCAACCTCCATGTAGTACATCTTGAATAATGCTAATGTTGGTACTGTAACTTTTAAGTTTTATTACTAAAAAAGTATTTAATGAATAAATATGTTATTATAGTGTATTGGAAAGCTCTCGAAATAAGTTACAAGAATATACAATAAAAAATAGGAGGTTCCATTTAAAAAATTAACGTGACCTTGAAATAACCTTGACAATGGCCGCCAAGGTCAAAGTCAAAAGTCACTTTCAGAAGCTTTACAACTTCCTTTCGAACTTTACAACTTTTGTCTGAAACATTTTTTGATATTACGAGATAATTGCCCGTACTGATTACAGTGGTCCATCCTGTAGGGAGCGTTCCGATTGAGCACGGTACGATTGGACACAACCATCCGATGAAAAGAATTATCTAGTGAATTACTAGGTTGAACCAATCATTACAATCTGTGTCCAATCGTATCGTGGTCAATCGGGTCCCACCCCATCCTGTATACAGGGTGTACCATTTTAATCGATAACCTCAAAAATCTCTTGAAAAGTGCATTTTAGAGAAAAATGTTTCAAATAAAAGTTTTGGGACTTCGAAGGGGACATAAGATGATATCATTAATTTGACCTCGAGTGGCGTCGTCAAGATCAGGACAAAGTTACTTTGAATTTTTTAAATGGAACCCTCTATTTTTCATTACATATTCATATAGCATATCTCGAGAGCTTTCCAAAACACTATAATAAAATATTTTTTTATTAAGTATCTTTCGAGTTGAAAACCTTCAAAGTTACAACATTATTGCCATTAGCATTGGTACCCAAGGTGTTTGACCGATGGCTAGAACATTTGAATGTTGTTTAGAGCCATGACCTTGACAACATTTGTCAAGGTCAAGGCAATTGGAGGCTGTTCCTAATATTTTCATTTCTTGATACCTGTGGATTTAAAAAACCAGTACCGAGAACAGTTAGTGACGTGGCTTTATTAGGACCAGATTTTCGACGTATTCGTTTGAGAGTGCCCTGTTGTGCCTTTTCACATAGTCTTTTAATTACCGTCCTATTAGAATGACGTCTATCCGGAAATGTTTCGGCATAAATCCTTTCAGCTGTCGTATAATTATTTTTGGCCTCATCTAAAATTCTGATCATATCCACGATTTCGTTAGGTGGGTAATCAGCCATAATTATAGGATAATAGAAAAACTTGTGAAAACACTGAAATTATTGAATTCGCCACGAGTCTCCGTCCTGTGGTTGGATTAGCAACAATGCGGACAAGTGACGCTAGCAAGAGAATGACACGAGCTATGATTATTAAAGAAATTTATTAATGGAATTTCACACGTGTGCTTCTTTGTGGCCCTAACGAAACATTGTGACCTTCATATGATCCTTTATAGTCAACCGGACTCCACATGTTACCCCATGATTTTAAAATATTATTTTTGTTTTCACTGTAAAATTTGAAAAAATGAAAATATTAGAAATAGCCTCCAATTGCCTTGACCTTGACAAATGTTGTCAAGGTCATGGTCCTGCACAACATTCAAAAGGTTTTAGCGGACGGTCGAACACCTTGGGTACCAATGCTAATGGCAATAATATTGTAACTTTGAAGCCTTTTAACTCGAAAGATACTTAATGAAAAAATATTTTATTGTAATGTTTTGGAAAACTCTCGAGATATACTATAAGAATATGTAATGAAAAATGTGGGTTCCACTTAAAAAATTCAAAATGATCTTGTCCTGACTTTGACGACGCTACTGGAGGTCAAACCAATGATATCATCTTATGATACCCCCCTTAAAATCCCAAAACTTTTATCTAAAACATTTTTCCCTAAAATGCACTGTTCAAGAGATATTTGAGATGATCGATTAAAATGGGACACCCTATATAATTGATTAAATCATATAATAGTATTCAGGCGTCAAATATATCTTAATGTCTAATGTCCATTTATTTACTAGGAATTCTTACGATTTTCAATCTTACGCATTCATGTAAGATTAAATATTATTAGGTGTACAACTTTGCTTCCGCCGTTTTTTTTTCCGAAATTCGAGGCTTTATTGTAAAAAACTGGTTACACATTTATGATTCAAAGTATTGTCCATCGCTGACCACTACTTTCTCCCATCTTTCAGGCAGCGTACGAATGCCGCGTCGAAAAAACTGGTCATCTTTTGAGGCGATCCACGAATCGATCCAATTTTTTACTTCTTCATAAGACCGGAAGTGCTGGTCAGCTAAGCCGTGTGCCATTGATCGAAACAAGTGATAGTCAGAGGGAGCAACGTCTAGAGAATACGGCGGGTGGGGTTGGACTTCCCATTTCAACGTTTCCAAGTATGTCTTGACCACTTTTGCAACATGGGGTCGAGCATGCTGCAAAATCACTTTATCGTGTCTCTCGTTGTATTGCGGCCGTTTGTCTTTCAATGCTCGGCTCAAACGCATCAATTGCGTTCGATACCGATCGCCTGTGATTGTTTCAGTCGGTTTTAACAGTTCTTCTTGATTTTGACACGAGTCTTGATCAAGTAATGCCTCCAATTTTGCATCTTCGAAAACCTCCTCTTTTCTACCGTTATGTCGGTCTTCGATGTCAAAATCACCGTTCTTGAAGCGTTGAAACCATTCACGACACGTTCTTTCACTAATAGCGGCCTCACTATAAGTATTTGAGAGCATTCGATGAGTCTCAGCCGTATATTTCTTCATATTGAAGCAGAAAATTAAAACCTCCCGCAAATGACGAGAATTTGGCTCGTAAACTGACATTTTTAATCGAGAATAACTTTATGATGCAGACACAAATCGACTATGGGGTTATGTTGACAGATGCCCAAGTTTATTGTATGATGTCTATGATCTATTTATTTCGACCACCACTTACTGCTAAAGCCATCTATAGGAAAACGGCGGAAGCAAAGTTGTACACCTAATATATAATCCTTGTTATATATAAATCTAATTATAACTTTATAGTTATATATATATATTCAGTACTCCTCATTTCTTCTATAAATTAATTGACGCATCTAAATATCTCATTAACAAATAAGCGCAAACTTAAAGGGTTTCCTTAGTATGAATAGGCTTAAAGTAGTGTTATTTTTAGAAATTTTTAAAATAAAAACGACAAAATCAATTGATATAACACTTTTCGTATATATTATACTTTATTTAAAGTATATATCAAAGTTTTTTCAAGATATATGTATAAATATATGCATAAACAGTGTATATGTATATATAAATAGTGTGTCAGCCTAGAAAATAACTTTGTAGACTGTACCCACGATTGTAGCCGTTGTAGTTATCTAGAACAAAAAAACAAAAGATTCTTAATCTGCATATATGTAGCTATTATTTGATCTAAAATTATAAAAAATATTGAAAATTTTTAAAATTATAACGTTTTTATTATCTTTTTCTTTATTTTTGGAAAAAATTGTATATTTTTTTGGGTGTCAAATTTTTTTATTTTCGCATAAAAAAGTTTAGGTCAAACGAAAACTATACATCTATTATATATATCCTCAAAACATCAAGTAGATGCGATCATTTGTTCCCGAGTTATCGTGGTCACCAGTTTACAAAATGCTATTTTGAAAAAAACGCGTTTAAGATTTTACGTATATATTTTTAGTATATAATTTAAAATTCTCCTTATAGCTAATCAGCTATTCCAGGGTCGTACAGAAAATCTTCCTTTTCTTCATAAAACTCGTATAGAGTGACCTGAGTTTTTCTACTGGCTAGCCTTCTTGGTCGCCTCGTGATGTTTACGCTCGGCGATCCGCAATCGTTTATCGTCTCGCTTGTCGGCGAATTGCTTGACTACTGGGACAATGTCGACTTCCATCGTCTAAAAAACTTTTAGAACTGCGTAATAGCCTTCAATGAATATGTCGACGGCCAAATAATTGGCAATTTCAATTTTTTTCAAGCCGCAATGTAAAAGTTTTGGAGCAAAGTGCTACAGCAAACCATTGTAGCTTTCGTTATCATTCTGCGTGTTGCTGCCCAAATAACGTTCTAATAAATCATCTTTAAATAAATCCTCATAAACCTTAATCATTTTCTAAACAGTTTCGATGAGCGGCGGAGCGTGAGTGAAATTCTTTACTGTTCCCGCAGCCTCCGCTCGATACCATGCACTCGACAACCTTTCTCTGACCTTGGCGACGTAACCGAAGGTTAAACTGATAAGGGGAGTAAATAAATATTTTCAAGCCCTATAACTTTTGTCTCCAACACTTTATCTTTATAACTATATTTCTCGAGGTATTTGGCTGAGCCGGAACTTTTTGGACATCCTGTACATATGTTGAATACCTCTAGATAGTTGATTCGAGATTCTGTGACTCAATATAACAAGAAAAAAAATAACACAAAAAAAAGTAAGAGTAAACGTAAAAAAAATTACGTCCGGGAACTCTTACGATTTCAAGTTTATTGAAATTATTATTATTATTATTATTATTGTTATTATTATTTATTATTTTTCCCATTTTTCTTAATTTCCCACGTTTCCCTCACTTGTGCCTTAATTTTATTTTAATGGTCCCTAATTTTAATGGTCATTTTCGAATTCTACGATTCAAAATACATAAATAATATGTGACATTTTCTCGTTTAATCGAATAACTGTTTTCACACCACCAACTTTGCATTACGTCCTTTATTTTTCTCTATTAATTGAAGTTATGGTAATTATGCAGTTTAATTATGCAACTCCGATTACCTTCTCCTTAAGATATATTATACAAGTCATTTTCTTGAATAATCTCTAAAAGGTTTTAGCTGTT